GGCGGTCGCGGTGGCCGGGGCTCGGCCCCTCCCCTGCCGGCCCAAGCGAGGCCAGCACCCCGCTCGTGACCTCCTCGGGGAGAGGAAGTGCGGCCCGGCCGGTACCTGGGCGCAGGGCATGGGGGCGCTGTGCGCTCGGGCCCCCCCCCAGCACAGGTGTTGGGGTGTATGTGTGTGTTGGGGGGTGGGGTGGGGGGTCGTCACGTGATGCTCGTGCGTCGCGGTGCAGGAATCCGCTCCCTTGGGAACCGTGCCAGTGCCAGTCGGAAAGGAAAAACTTGGAGAGCTTGCAGGAGCCACGGTAGACAGACAGGTGCATCCAGGGCGGGACGGCGACTTCCTAGGCCGCTCAAAAGAAAACAAGAATCAAACAACAAACCACAAAAAAACCACCTGGTGTCAGAAGAGACTTGGCCTCACCAAGGCGACCCAACAACCGTGTAAAGTTTCCCCTTCATTTGTACAGTGACTTCTTTCTTTCTTTCTTTCTTTCTTTCTTTCTTTCTTTCTTTCTTTCTTTCTTTCTTTCTTTCTTTCTTTCTTTCTTTCTTTTCTTTGTGGCGCCAACCCAGTTTGCAACGAAGAGGAAGCCAAAGAGTGAAGACGAGCAGAAGCTCTCTGGGAAATCTAACACGTTATTTCAGCCCCCAGTTGTTGTTTAGCAAGTTTAATGCCCCGTTTGTTTAGAGAATCTCTTATTTTCCTCCAATACAGGAACAGATGCATCTCCCTCTCCCCCCCAAAAAAAACACCCCGCAACAACCTGGCCTTCTTTACAGGGTCAAACAGGTGGTTCAGTCGTGTTTTATTTATTTATTTTTATCAAACAAATGATAAAATTGCCCAAAAGGCACAAATAAAACGTTAGACATATATGACAGCCACTGAGTTAAATGCCAAAGTTAAAAATAAATGCTCCCAACTCTATTTTTTTTTGACCATCGTCTATTAAAACCAAACAGAATGACAGCTGTGCTTTATCAAGGGTAACATTTGTTAAATGTTGAGCTTACTAGGTTTAAAAATTTTTTTTTTGCAAAATTAAGAAGTAGGATAGGAGTCATCTCCTGTTTACCTGTCATATATTTTGTTAGGACTGTAAAACTCGTTCAGGGAGGCACTGAACAACTCTATTGGAGTTGAGGTACCCTTCCTTCATCGTCTTTCTCCCATCTATACCAACCCCGTTACCCAGTTCTTTTCTCTCTTTGTCTGCCTCTGTCTACTTAAGGGTCAGGATTTTAAATAATGGCATGTCAACCTTTGGTTGGTTAAACTGTAAAGTTCTGAGTGGGAAAATCCCTGCTTATGCATTTATAGGGGTCGAACATGCAGCATACAGTCCATTATCATCTGACTTTAAGACATGCTTCAATTTCCCTTTTCAAATCCGTGTTGTAGTCCATTCGCCTTTCAACATTTTTGAATATACCACTATAATAGGTTTAGTGAGCTTAATAAGTTCTCATTTCACTTTATTGCAAAGCTTTAGTATGTATGTAGAATATTAAAATATCCTGTCTTATTTTCAATTTAAAAGTTATACCTGATCATGGTATACACTAAATAAGTACAATGCAAATTATACAAAACTTCAAATGGAAAACTCAGTCTATAACCATTTCCAGGGGATAATCACTGTTAATATTTTCTACTGTCTTTCAATTTATTTTTCAAATAGGACACTTAACATTATAATTTGGTAACATTAGCAATATTTGTGAAGCAACATTCTGTAAGATATTATATTACTGCTTCTCTGTAATCTAGTTACTGCAGGTCCCAGGGAAGTGCTGTTACATCATTAGCTTTTCACACTAAACTTAGTCCTGAACATTTTGCCCTGTGAACAAACAGGAATTTCCTCTGGCTCTTCTTAGAATGTTTCTGTAGTAAGATTTGGAAATAGCATTTCTGATTTAAATGGGGCTAGTCATGGGGCTAGGATCTCCCCCCAAAATAATTACCTTCTACACCCATTACATGTGCTACCTAATTCAATTTGTTTGTTATTGATTGTATATACACCCAGTCATCAATGGATGCCCTTGGTTTGATTTGTTTCTCTTGTTTCTTTTTCCCTCTGGAAAACACTCATTTGAAGACTTCAATAGCATTGCCATTAAGGGGATAGATACACAGACCTATACTTGGATGTTTTTCACATCTCATGTATCTTCACCTGGTAAATGGCACCATCCCACCAATAAGCCTTATTTGCAAGAAAAGAAGCTCAGGATAATTTCTTCATTCAAAATATCAGAGATTTGCTCAAAATACTTATTGATGACAAAAGGAAAAACAACTTGCAGTGGGGAATTCTGGAAGATATCACTATATGCAATCACAGTCAATCCCATCATTAATAAAATGTATTGACATCCTATATCCTCTTCCCTAATCCCTTCACCTCCGTATAATCATGAAAAACCATGGGTCAAACCCAAGTTGGGGATGTTCTAGGATATACAGCTGATCAAGTGATTTCAGAAGTATCAAAGTCCTGAAAGACTGAAAATCTGGCACAGATTGGAGACAAAGATGACAGCTGAAATGTAGCATCAATATTAACTTCTTAGTTTTGGCATTGATGTTAGGAGAAGCTGGATGAAGGGCAGACATGGATTGAAAATTGAATGTCCTCAACACACATGCACACATGGGCACACACATGTACACACATGAATACATATGCACACATGTATGCACACAGAGCAAGTAAACAAATATTTGAAAATCAGTGAGGAGAAAAGTGAATGATATCTGTACAGAATGTATCAGTCCATCAGCCCTTAATTATAGTGTTGGGTTCCTCATGTTGTAATCAGAAGTTTACCAGTACCTTCCTTTTAGACTTTAAAATTCTCTATGGTAAGAATATTTTTTATTTATCTTTGTATTTCTAGCATCTAGCCTAACCTGTGAAGGAGTTTTCTTTAATAAAGAAAAAAAAAACCCTAATAGAGTATCTGCTTTTCAAACTCAGTAACCCTCTCCCGCTACCACAAACATATCTCTGGCATATAGGTGGGCACGGCAGTATTTACTGTAGTATCAGCTACTTGAGATACTGAGGCAGGAGGATCACTTGAGACCAGGAGTTTCAGGTCAGCCTGAGCAATAAGTAGAATAGTGTTCCTTAAAAAAAAACTTGTTATTATAAAGATGATGTACAGAGGGGTTACAGTTGCATAAGTCTGAGTTTTTATTCAGACCCTATTCAAGTCCATTTCTTTTTGGGCAATGTCACCCCCTCCCTTGCTCTCTCACAATTTCCCCCTCCTGTTGAACAGTGTTTCTTAAAAAAAAATCCAATTCAGAGTTCAGAGAAGGATGATTATAACCTGTTTGAATCAGCCAAGTCCTGTTACCTTTCTATACCAGATCCCTTTCTCTCGTGTAGAGCTAGCAATCAAACCATGTAAGTGCTCTACCACTGAGCAATATCCTCTATTTTCCTAAAGCTATTTCTGACTTTATCCTTCATGATGTTTGTTGTCTATAAGCAGAATATCCTTCACCTATCAGATCTGGCAACAGAGGCTTTCTCAACTTCAGTTCATATTCAAATTAGTAATAATATGGACACCTAGTTCCTTGGGTCTCTCCTTCATGCTAAATTGATATCCTGATAAATCCCATAATTAGGATATGAAACAAAGAGTTAACACTAAAGTTTGTTTTTGCCTCAGAAATAGTTTGACTTCTACTTTTGTATAAAGTAATGATGGAAAGGGCAGACAAATGCAGCAGTGATACTCACTAGATACTATGTTGAAAATGAACTATACAATTCATGAGTGGGATTAGGAGGGAAAACTGGGAGAGAGTAAGGGAAGAGATGACATCATTAAACAAGTAATGTACTCTTTACCTGACTAATGTAACCATAATCACTCTGAACATCACCTTTACAATAAATAAATAAATAAGTAAATAAACAAATATGTTAATTACAAAAAAAATAATGATGGATACCTCTGACCTTTTAGGAATGACTGACTTATTTCTCCATTGTAAATAAAACCATATATAACTTCCAATTTCTTTATAAATTAAGGGGTTTACATCAAACCTAATTTTTGAGTTCAGAGTTCAGAGTATTAGCACATTTCATATGTGTCAAATGTAGAAAGCCCTATGTTAACACCTGGTTGAGGAACATTTGGCCCCTTGAACTGGGAGATTGCACCTGGCACTTCCTCCTACTTTCCCATTGCCTACCTTCTATAGGCTGTTCTATCTTGTCACCCTTTGTCTCAGGCTGAAAACAGTTCTTTTAACTGCTGTGGGAAGCATATAAATCCACCTCTCCCCCTCATAATCTGCCCCCCATCCCATTACATCTAGTTCAGATCAGACTCTGATAGGAGCTGAACCTTGGAGTGTAAAACAGAAAAAAGTAATCATTAAAAAAAAGTAATCATAACTATTCAGTTTATGTTAGAAATTCACTTTAAGGATTGGTAAGATGGCCATTCTTAACATCTTCTCTACTGGAATTTATTATTTTTCTGTTGCAACTTTTTAACATTAAATATTTGTACCAATTCTTTTGTCTTTTCTCTGCTTATAACCTTAAGGACAGCAATGCTTACCTCAGAGGATTGTTTTGATGATTAAGGGGAAAGGAGAGGGTAAATTCCTAGAATTCTTTCTGGTG